ACGAGCAAGGACCAAGATCGTCAACCTTCTTCCAGATGTTTCTCGACTTTGCCCAGTCGTATGATTTGCGGTCCAAGCGCTCTGGACGGCGAAAGCACCATACAGATCAGCAGCTCAAGGATGGACGGCCTAAAAACAAGGATGGAGGTTGTTTTCTAGATTCACCTCACCTGGGATGAGTCAAACTATATTTCCAGTTTCTCGACTGTCTGGGGGGGGGGGCTGCATCAATCGTGCTATGCTTTATTGTACGTCAGGGTAAGGATATGACGATTTTTTCCTTTTCTTTCAAGTCATTGAATGCCGCCAGAAGAACTAAAAATAATCACAGCACAAGGGAGTATTAACCACGTGTCACTTAGTTTGTTTGTTCTCAGGCGTGGACTGTAATTCGTGTGTCGTGCCTCACGTTTTCCTTTCATTGTTGTGTGTGGTCAATCACAATAGCATGCTTGATCTTATGTGAGTGTATGTCTTTTTGACTGAATGTATGTATGTGTTGTGTGCGCATGCGTGCGTATAATGCGTATGTACGTGTGTGTGTTTTGAGTGTGCGTGTGTGTGTATGTGTGTACGTGTGTGTGTACGTGTGTGTGCGTGTGCGTGCATATGTGTGCGTCCGTGTGTGTGCATGTATGCGTGTATATGTGCATGGTATGTCTTGATACAGAGGAACTCACTCTGCAGGACATAGAATCCATCAAGCCAGAGTGGATTTCTCAGATCACGATCAACAACTGGCTATATGATGCAGATGACCCTCGCGATGTGGACTGCAAGATGTTGACAACTTCGTCTAAACTGGTAATACTAAGTGCGATCTTGTGCTCTTGGCTAGTATAGGGTTCGTACAGGAATCGATTCATCATGAAACGATTATCTGCACTTGTGAAAGGAGAAGGCCACCCACTGGTGTATGCAGTGTACAGCGTGAGTCGCTATGGCAAGGCCAGCACCATGCCGTGAGTCCGCGACTTCTCCAAAGCATTTCAACTGTTGATGTGATCACTTAGGGGAAGTGCATCGATTTTTCGAGTATGGTCCAGAAGAAAGACAATTTGATATCGGTTCGAATGGCATATCTCTCGCTTCCATACGATGAGCCAAACTTGCCAAATCGCCAATTGTATACTCACGTTGCCATAGCGACCAGCGCAGAGATGACGTACGAAAGGCTTAGCTCCACCACAGAGAAGGTCCATCACAGCAGAATTTGGTCACTTTCAATTGGTTTATTGTATTCACGAAGTTCAATGCTGTTAGTGCAGTGAACTGTTTGTTAGCAGTCCTCTCGGTTGTGTACTGGGACGTGACACCGACAGGAGAAAGCTGGAGTGCGGAGACACCAGCAGACAAGCGAAAACAGTGACGAACAAAATGCTGAAATCTTGGTTTGGACAAATCAGACGTTCAGCATTTCCCCCAACCAAGGACCATGCCGTTTGCTCTTTCCACTTCCTGAAGATGAATGTGATGCTTCCTGGCGACTCTCCTATCTCTCGTAACATCTTCTGAAGCCAGGTGAGACGACGGGTGGTGGAGATTGACGAATGAAATAATGTCGTAGGTTTGAAAGTTTGCTGAAAATGTCTCAGGAGAGATGGCAAATTCCAAGCATCTTGTCCTGGAGGAAACCATTTCCTAGGCACAGTCAACCTGGGCATGAGAAGGGCGATAAATAGTTCACGGCGCTTCGCCCGCCGCCGTGCAGCCCAATACGTGGCTAAAAAACGTGATTTTTTGGACTTTTTTTGGACTTTGAGCAAAATTCTGCACAATTTCACGTGTTTCCATGATACGACAAGTTGCGCACGGTCTGCTCACATTCAAATACAGTGCTGCCAACAAATGACAGCGTGCAACAAAATTCTTTCCTTGCAAGGGCACATTTTCGGCCATAACTCTTGAACGCCTGGTCAGATCGAGACACAATTTTCAGAGATTTTGCAGCTGTTCATGCTCTTTCAACTGATGTAGCCCTCGATATGAATTTACAAATTCGATTTTTCAGGGATTTTACGACCAGGCTGCCACCTTAACCCCTAGAGGAGTTGGACAACAAAGGAAAGCTATGTATGGTACCATAAGGTGAACATTATTAGACCCAAAACTAATACAAGAAACACTGATATCCTAAAGCTAGCACTATTGGAGGCATGATTACATGAGCAGCGAGCAGCGTGAAAGCAAGTGTAGCTTGGAGAAATGCAAGTGGGAAAGGTACATGTATGTGAGTAGGTATGTAATGTACCTTTCCCACCTGCATTTCTCCAATGTACCTTTCCCACCTGCATTTCTCCAATGTACACTTGCTTTCGCACTGCTCGCTGCTCATGTAATCTCGCCTCCAATAGTGCTAGCTTTAGGATATCAGTGTTTCTTGTATCAGTTTTAGATCTAATAATGTTCAATTTATGGTACTCGAGAGAAGTGGATCTCTTTTTACTATTGGCTTTGGTATTATTGTGTTTTGTTTTTCCTTCAGGTAGATATCATTGATATGACTCCTGATGTTGATGAGTCAAAGTTTATGGATTTGAAGCCTGCCAACCTGCACCTTGCAACAGCTTTGCAAATGAGTGGAGCAGCGATTTCTATCAAGACAGGTATGTGTAGGTTGTGTGTTTGTGAGTGTGTGTGTGTGTGTGTGTGTGTGTGTGTGTGTGTGTGTGTGTGTGGTGTGCCCATAAGTGGGATCATTTTCAAGTCCACCCAGGTTTTGGGGATTTCAGGGGGTGTCGGCCGTTGGGCGGTGCAATATCCAGTTGAGTCATCTTTCCAAGATTCCTTTTGGGTCTCTCTGCCCTCTCCCGGGGAGACCCACGTGACCAGTTTTGGCAGTGAGCAACAAGTACAAGTAATTACAAGTGTGTGTGTGTGTGTGCGTGTGTGTGTGTGTGTGCGTGTGTGCGTGTGTGTGTGTTTCTATGTGCGTATGTATATAATCCAAGGCTGGTCGTTTTTGGCCGCTCCTCTCTTCTGCGCTCGATGGTAGTGTACTCGTCTTTACCTGTTTGCTGTGGGCATTGTATGATTCATCCTTGACATACTGTAAAATCCTGTGTGCAGAGAGTACCTTAGTGCTGTGGACATGAGCGCATGCATGACAGGGAAGCGACCAGACCACTTCAATTTGGATGCGCAGAGTGGTAGTACAGGGTTACGTACGTGTGTGTGTGTGAGAGAGAGAGAGAGAGAGAGTGTGTGTGTGTGTGTGTGTGTGTGTGTGTGTGTGTGTGTGTGTGTGTGTGTGTGTGTGTGTGTGTGTGTGTGTGTACAGTCCATTTACAACTAACGCATGGTCTTACAAAACCATGTTTTCTTTGCCGATGTTCCGGCATTGTTGCATATGATTCTGGTATCTGCAGGGACACTGTCTACTGTCATCCAGCAATTCCGTGAGATCTTTGTCATTTTCGGGCTAAGAGATGATGTCTACCTGCCGTCGTGGTTCAACTCGGCTCAGCGTGATGTTGACACTGTTGTGAAGGTATGTACCTGTATGTGTGTGTTTGTGTTATGTTTGCGTGGGCATGAGTGTGCGTCCGTACGTGTGTGTGTGTGTGTGTGTGTGTGTGTGTGAGACAGAGAGTGTGTGTGTGTGTGTGTGTTTGTGTGTGTGAGAGAGAGAGCGTGTGTGTTTGTGTGTGTGTGTGTGTGTGTGTGTGTGTGTGTGTGTGTATGCGTGTGTGTGTGTGTGTGTGTGTGTGTGTGTGTGTGTGTGTGAGGGAGAGAGATAGAGAGTGTGTGTGTGTGTGTGGGTGTGTGTGGGTGTGAGTGGGTGTGAGAGAGAGAGAGAGTGTGTGTGTGCCAACTTGTCGGAAGGCTACCTTCTTGCCAAAGCATTTGGAAGTTGAACTAGTTTCGGCTCCACAATCAATTGTGTCGTTACTGTAGCTTTCATGGCTAAGGTTGTTGGTATGTCTGTTGGCTCTGGGTTCCCAGTACTCAGTAGCCGAGGCTGGTTGGTAAAGTAACTCCAATTTCACTTCAAGGTACCAGTGCATCTAGTGTCTGCTTCTATCAAAGCAGCGTGCTGTCTATACTGGTTACCGCAGCAAGTGTAGGGTGTGCATAGGTAACTGTCTTGGTCGTTTTATGCCGATGTACTCCGTGTGGTGTAGCCCAGGTGTGCATTGGTAGTCGATTCACATCGCTTCACCAATTGTGTGGATTAGACAGTTATCTGGCGCAAGTCTTGATCAGTCTCATTCAGATCTTGTTCGCTATAAGAGAAAACCTGTGGGTGCACATCCAGTGCATTTGCAGATTTGCGTGCTTCTTTCGCGACTGGCGTATACATACATGGTGTGTGGGCGTGTGTATGTGTGTGTGTGTGTGTGTGTGTGTGTGTGTGTGAATGTGTGAATGTGTGTGTGAATGTATGTGTGTATGTGTGTGTGTGTTTGTGTTGACCACTTTCATGGCAGAGGTTGTTGCAGGCGCGTACGTAGGGTCGGCCCGAGGGGGGGGGGGGGCGCTTTAGTAAATAGCTATGTCACATCAACCTACTCTCACGCGCTTCGAATGTTTCAGTGCATGTGCCATGCATGTAGACATCAGGTAGTCGTAGAATCTGCGACTTGAAGACTCATTGGCAGCATGGTGTGATGCCCACACGCAGTGCAGGGCAACAGAAGACGAAAAACGAACAAATGTTCAGTCGGCCGACAGAAGGGGGGGGGGGGGGCTACGAACCCTGTGGAACCCCCCCCCCCCCCCCCCGGTACGCGCCTGTGTTGGTATTTATGTTGGCTCTGGGTTCCCAGTACTCACTTACCGCGGCTGGTTGGTACATAAACTCAGATTTCACTTCAAGGTACCGGTGCCTCTAGTGTCTGCTTCTATCAAAGCAGCGTGCTGTCTATAACGGTTACCCCAGCAAGACAAGTGTAGAGTACGTATGTACCTGTTTCGGCCGTCCTAATCTGATGTTCTCAATGTGGTGTGGACCAGGCGTGCATTGGCGTTCGAATCACATCGCCTCGCCTGTTGTGTGGATTAGCCTGTTGTATGGATTAGACAGTTATCTGGGCTAGTCGTGATCTGTTCAATTCGGATCGTGTCCGCTATTGTTGCCATAAGAGAAATCCTGGGGGCGCACGTCCAGTGGTCTTGCAGATTTGCGTGCTTCTCTTGAGACGCGTGTATACATGTTGTAGTTATGTCGTACCAGTTAGTTCAGCTTCTGGTTACACACGTCCAGATAGTGTCGACAGGGGCAGATGCTTCAAGGTGTGTTGTTGTAACTGTCACTTGTTTACAATGTTCCTATAGAGGGATTAGTTGCAGTGTTTTGTCTAGTGATAGTCAATGGATTTAACTCTCCAAGATTCCTTTTGAATCACTCTCCCTCTCCCTACGAGACACAAGTGACCAGTTTCTGGCAGTAAGCAACTGCAAGACTTAGTACACATTTGTGTGTGTGTGTGTGCGTGTGTGTGTGTGTATGTGTGTGTGTGTGTGTGTGTGTGTGTGTGTATGTGTGTGCCAGCTAGTTCGGTTGGAGGGTACACTTCTGCCTGATTGTGTTGGGTCTGTTGCCAACGGGCTCGGCTGCTGGAAGGTGTAATGTTGTACCTGCCATCTTTGTTGGTTCCAGGGTTCATTATACTTTCTATTTGAAGTACACATACCTGTTTGCATTACGCAGAGCTCAGTGACTTGTCAGTCTGAGCACTCTGGCAAGGTACGTTCGGGCCTGATTGGAAATTTTTATTTCCATTGCTATCAGGTTCGGCCTCATTTCCTCTGTGCTGCGCTGATGAGTTCACAAAGAACGAAACAGCATGCTGTCCGCAGATTGAGTACCTGTTAACCATGGCCAACTTCTGGCTAGATTTACTATTGTGTAATCAATGGTGCTAGTGAAGCTTAGATCAGATCCACTCTATTTTAGCCACCCACACTAGTAGCAAATCATGATTACCTTCACTGGGGGCAGGGGTAACTGCAGTTGGATCCCCGGACAGATACCTTGATACCATCAATCCTTTTTCTGCACCATGTCCTCACCCACTTACTGAGGTGGGGTGAGCCAATAAGTGGGATCATTTCCAAGTCCACCCAGGGTTTTGGGGATTTCAGGGGGTGTCGGCCGTAGGGCGGTTAAATAGCTAATAAAGTCACCTTTCCAAGATTACTTTTTGAGTCTCTCTCCCCTCTCCCGGAGAGACCCACGTGACCAGTTTTGGCAGTGAGCAACAAGTACAAGTCAAGTGTGTGTGCGTGTCTGTATGTGTGTGTGTGTGTGTGTGTGGTTGTGTATGTGTGTTTGTGGGTTTGTGTATGTGTGTGCGTACGTGTGTATGTGTGTTTATCTGTGTGTGGATGTGTCTGTGAACGTGCACATGATTGTGAATGACGTTCATTTCAGCTTATCATCGTTATCATCCTGCAAGCGGTCTTCACTCACTTCTATATCATCAAGCTGGTAGCACCACAATGGTCCGAGTCTACCCTGCTCTGGTGGAGTTCCAACATTGTCGTTTGTACAGTCTACATTCTCGCAACCATGCCTGCGCCCCAGAGTAGCGAAGAGAACGATGTCGTTTCGTCCTCTGCACGGTAATGACTGATGTTGCAATGTTCTCTTTAGAACGCTTAGAACCGCAGGCAATAAAATGACGAGTACAGTCAGACCTCGCTGATCCGGTCCTCTTTTATCCGGATCCCTCGCCATCCGGAAGAAAATAGCCGGTTACAGGTTTACAGCATACGTGATGCATCCAACGTAACTGGTGTTCGGTTATCCGGTTCCCTCGCCTATCCGGATATTTTGTAGAAAACGGATGTGTGCGGTTAGGCGAGGCCCGACTGTACACTCGTATCTCTCTTATCCGGGCGATCCGGGACCGGGTACTGACTTTATGTTGAAACGTCCGTAACTCTGAAACACGTACTTGGTCCGCCAAGTTAAAATTGGCGCTTATCTTCTCACTTGGTTTTTTGGTGTTCTGCCTGTGCCACATGGCATGGAACCACCGATTCACCATCCGAACATAAACATTGACCATTGCATCCGACAACATGGCAGCACAAACCATCACAGAAGTTGCGATCGGTTCGTTTGAGTCTTTTTGACGGAGCTGCCGCCGACGAACACTTCCGTCAGCGCAAGAAAACACTGCAACCTCCGCTCGAGTCCGTAAAATAGGTCAGGATGTTCGCATTTCAGAGCGATGGAGAATACAGTTTCTGTCTACTTCCAGCTGTCTGATGGCAAGGATTGTTTACCCCGGGGAGGTATAGAAAAGCTGAAAAAACGCTTTGCGAGCTTGAATTTCAGTGCTTGCACAGTACAGCGCCTAGTGAAGGGCTATCACCAGCAAATCGCTGACGAAGAAACTGCAGCTCATGTCGATATCTCCAGTAAGTGAGACCAATCCGGCGGACACACTTTGAAGCTCACAGAGGGCAGGGCAAAGGAGCTAATCAAAGGAAACACCAAGTCCTGAGAGAAACACTCGTGCAAAGGACTTTCAGGAAACTAGCCGAAAACTAAAGCCTGGTGCACAGCGTTGTAGGTGCAGTACGCACAGCTAGCTACAGGTGCTACATCAAGCGGAAGCTATCACTGCACTGCATGTAGATCTTCAAGCACCAGCGGCTCGCGTGGGTACGGGTGCTGATCAGCAAGTACGACAATTGCAAGAGGCGATTTGAAAAAAGGACACTGATATGGCGTTGCCTTTTTGTCTCAAACAAAGTCGCATTATTGCGACGAATGGGGATAACACTTACAGTCAACATGCGGGCAGTATCACTCAGCTTCTGATGGGAAGGTGACAGGCACGCACTGCCTTTGAGCGTGATTCGAGACGAGGAGAAGTGGAACAAGCTATGAAACGACTCGTGCAGCAGCTGTCCGGATCGGACGTTTTGAGCTCTTCCTCCAGCGACGATAGTGGCGAGGAGGATGTGTAACTTGCCTGAATTTTCGACTGAGTTGCTTACTGACATGTAAATAATCATGTATATAGTGCTTTGTGATCATGGCTTGCTTCAAATATTCGTATTTCTTTCCTGAGACAAGTGTGAAGATAAGTGCCAATTTTAACTGGGCGGACCAAGTACGTTTTAGTGGGGAAGGGCCAGAGATCTGGCATACTGTAAGCCGACACATTTTCGACCCATTCAAATTGCAGCCTCCCAGGGCTAAAACCCATTTCGGCCGCATCAAAACTTCCGCCTGTATTGCTGCCGCCTTTGTGCACTGTCATACCGAACCTTGCAAAACTAAATTTCGCCCGCAACAAATTTTCGGCAGAACATGACCAGGCCGAAAATAGCCGATAATAAATATGCGCCGAATATTTTTGGACTTACAATATGACGGCGCTAGTTTCACAAAAAAATGGCAAAATGGTAGTGATTTTCCCCTAAAAATCACTTACAGGCTGCCCGGTGGACCGAAGAGTCCGTAACTTCGGGGTGTGTATTAAAAAGATATGAGTGTACAGTTTAAAATCTTATAGGACGCCGCTCGCAGCTTCATAAGTAATACGTGGGTCGTGAGCAACACCCACTTATGAGTGTGTAATGATTATTATAATCAAACCTGCTAAACAGCACCACTTCCTGCTCAGTAAGTGTTTCGGGGAGCTCACCCCTCATTAGTTGAGCTTGAGAAACTTGTGCTCCTAGAGCACTGCATTATGTAGTGCTCTCCGAGCCTAAACATCACTATAGGGATTCCAACTTACAGTTACACTCAGTTTCCAGCCCTACCACCACCTTGCGAACTCCAGACAGCAGCGTGAATCAGTGTAGCTCGTGGCGGTATTGTTTTTCGGCATGCAATTCTCTCTACAAGCATGTATAGTATGTCTTATGTGCGTTCTTGTTTCTTGTCCTTGAAGCTCCTTTCTGGAGCTACTGCCAACTGCTCGTCAGATCCGTGAACTGGCAACGCCCACCACATACGGAAACCACCCGGACTATATCCTGCATATCAGCGATGGCGGACACATGGAGAATCTTGCCCTGTTGCCGTTGCTACGACGACGAACTGATTAGTAAGAGATGATCTATCTGATTCTATAGCATGGTATTCGAATGTGATTTGAAATATGTGGGAATCATCAGTAGTTGACAACCCTGAGGCTGTATAGATGTGTAGGGTATGGGTGTGTTAACCTACTGCTTTAGCAGGAACTCTAATCTGCTGCCCCCGATATGCTTGGTTGATGAATCGTTGCAAATCGTTCTTGTTTCTACCTGTTGCTTTTGTGTTCCTGTTACTCAGCATCATCTTGGCCGATGGTTCGCTTCATGGCACAATAGACCATGCATGCTTGCTGTGGGACGCTATGAACTATGCACGCATGTGGCTGGGCTGCCAGTTCACCTCCTTGGATGACACGGACGTCGATGAGCACATGCTGCGTACGATGGGTTACCATAGCGACGGAGCGGCACCGCAGGCGTACGGACTCAAGGTAGGGTGGTGGCAACAGTCCAGGATCCGAAGAGTGTAGCAACTGGGGTCTGGCTGCTGTAGGCCCACTGCGCGGCGGAATTCCAATATTACGCCATGCCGCTGATGCACAGCTGTACTAAAACTCCGCATTCCGCGGTGCTTGGAACCAGGGAGTAGTACAAGCGCAACGAACGTGTACGTCATTTTTTACGTAATGTTGGAATTCCGCCGAGCCGACCCCCATGTACAGAGCTGCACACTCTTGGAGTTATGGACTCTTGGTGACGGTGTTATGCAGTTTTCGTCGTCAGTGCATTTCCGGCGCAGTGCTGTAAGACTTTGTATGAACGTCGTCAGTGCATTTCCGGCGCAGTGCTGTAAGACTTTGTATGAACGTCGTCAGTGCATTTCCGGCACAGTGCTGTAAGACTTTGTATGAACGTCGTCAGTGCATTTCCGACGCAGTGCTGTAAGACTTTGTATGAACGTCGTCAGTGCATTTCCGGCACAGTGCTGTAAGACTTTGTATGAACGTCGTCAGTGCATTTCCGACGCGGTGCTGTAAGACTTTGTATGAACGTCGTCAGTGCATTTCCGGCACAGTGCTGTAAGACTTTGTATGAACGTCGTCAGTGCATTTCCGACGCAGTGCTGTAAGACTTTGTATGAACATCAGTACTATTGATTTTGATCAAGCCTACTGCATCAACTACCACCAGCTGGAAAGCTTTATATATGTCCTGTGGCAGGTTTTACACATGGGGAGGAGGGCTGGTGGGTGCTACTAAGTCCTCAGGATGGAGTGCAATATGCGACATCTGTTTCGATTACAGCATCTGAGTTTTTGTCCATTGAGTTGGTAACTTAGCAGTGCTCAGTTATTTTGTTTTCTGTTCGACCGTCTTTGAAGTTTGTTTGAATTCGTTATTCTCACGATGGCACCATCGCCAATAAGAGATAAGTTTATGAGAAGGTGAGGTGCTGTGATGGTTTGTCAGCCTGACTGTTTCTTACTATGTTTGATGTCACCGCATTCAACCATAATCTTTTACATTCAAAACAGGTGAAGTACATGGGCCAGAATGAGCTCGGTGAAGAAGAAGTTGTCAAGGAAGGCCGCATTCTAATGGTACAGCCTCGTCATCCACGCTACAGAATTGAAGGTGCCTGGTCTGGCCCCACTGATGAGGATTGGACTGTGGAGAATGCTGACAATCTTGTTGGTGTATTTACCAGGTAATCTTGTGAAACTGTGATAATATCAACTTGTATGCACGTGTATGTGTCTGTGCGTGTCAGTGTTCGTGTGCAGTGAAATTGGTAAAGTACCTCCAATTTCACTGCAAGGCACCTGTGCATCTAGTGTCTGCTTCTATCAAAGCAGTGTGCTGTCTATGTGGTCACCCCAGCAAGTGTAGGCCATGCATAGGCAAATGTCTCGGCTGTCCCTTTCCGATGTGCTCCTTGTTTTGTTGACCAGGTGTGCATTGTTGATTCACATGGCCTTTCCAATTGTGTGAATTAGGCAGTTAGCATGCGCTAATCTTGATCTGTTTTATTCGGATCTTGTTCACGATCGTTGATATAAGAGAAAATCTGTGGATACATGGTATAATTATGGTGTGTGTGTGTGTGTGTGTGTGTGTGTGTGTGTGTGTGTGTGTGTGTGTGTGTGTGTGCGTGTGTGTGTGTGTGTTGTGTATGTGCAAGAGTATTTTCTAGAGAATGTTTTTTTGGTGTGTGTGTGTGGGGGGGGGGGGACATGTGTGCTCGTGCGTATGCATGCTTTCTCTGACTCTCATGAAGGGTGTGATTTGTTATCTGTCTTGGTAGGAGCATGAATGGCAAGTACAAGGACTTCTTCACCAGCCTGTCTGGACCCTATCCTGGGTACGGAGGACTTTGGCTTGGAGCTGTTGCCACACCAAACATGACGGAGGCCCTCATGGCGGACGGAAAGCGTGTAATGCAAGCACCGGCAGTGAAAGAATTCCTCAGCGACTTGCATGCAGACCAACTGAAGCAAGACGAGTATCTGTCTTCCATCGGTAAGTAGATATGAATCCTGCGCCTACAGAATTATCCCAGGCGTCTTTCACATGCCGTAGTGTCGCGTATAAAAGTATGACCTGTATAGAAGCATGACTCGAATAGAAGCCGATTTTTTGAAGCGCGCCACGACACAGAAGCATTATTTGAATAGAGGCCGCTACTCATGCACAGAACATAAGTGGCAGTATCAACTGCACAGTGTAGACAGATGATGAGAACTTAGCAGCATGTTTTAAATTGAAACATACCTTGACTAGAAGCATGGTTAGAACCCCGACTTATACGGCTGTAATCACCTGCTTTTATACCCGTCATTACGGTGTTCTGAGAGGCACTTTTTGGAGTAAATATTTGTCTTACTCCCCCAACCCTCATCTCTCTCTCTCACTCCTGTGGATTACACTGGTGCTCAGGTTTTCATGCTCTCCTCTCTCTCTCTCCCTCCCTTCCTCCCTCTCCATCTACATCCCTCCCTTCCTCACTCTCTCCTGTGGATTACACTTGTGCTTTCCCACTCTCTCCCACACTCTCTCCCTCTTTCTCCTACTCTCCCACTCTCTCTCTCTCCCACTCTCTTCCACTTTCTCTCACTCTCTTCCACTTTCTCTCACTCTCTCCCACTCTCTCTCTCTCTCTCTCTCTCTCTCTCTCTCTCTCTCTCTCTCTCTCTCTCTCTCCCTCCCTCCCTCCCTCCCTCCCTCCCTCCCTCCCTCTCTCTCTCTCTCTCTCTCTCTCTCTCTCTCTCTCTCTCTCTCTCTCTCTCTCTCTCTCTCTCTCTCTCTCTCTCTCTCTCCCTCCCCCTCTCTCTCTCTCACTCTCTCACTCTCTATCCCACTCTCTCCCACTCTCTCTCTCTCTCTCACCTACTCTCTGACACTCTCACATGCTCACACTCTCACACCATCTCTCACATTCTCACACTCTCTCTCACACTCTCTCTCACACTCACACACTCACACACTCACTCTCTCCCACTCTCTCACTCTCTCTCACTCTTTCTCACTCTTTCTCTTACTCTCGCACTCTCCCACTCTCCCACTCTCTCTTTCCCACTCTCTCACTCTCTCACACTCTCCCACGCTCCCACTCTCTCTCTCTCACACTCACACCCCCTCTCTCTCTCTCTCTCTCTCTCTCTCTCTCTCTCTCTCTCTCTCTCTTTCTCTCTCTCTGTCTCTGTCTCTGTCTCTCTCTCTCTCTCTCTCTCTCTCTCTCTCTCTCTCTCTCTCTCTCTCTCTCTCTCTCTCTCTCTCTCTCTCTCTCTCTCTCTCTCTCTCTCTCTCTCTCTCTCTCTCTCTCTCTCTCTCTCTCTGTCTCTCTCTCTCTCTCTCACTCACTCACACACACACAGTCTCTCTCACTCTCTCCCACTCTCTCTCTTCCACTTTCTCCTACTCTTTCCCACTCTCTCACTCTCTCTCACTCTTTCTCCTACTCTCCAACTCTCTCACTCTCCCACTCTCTCTCCCACTTTCTCTCTCTCCCACTCTCTCACTCACTCTGTCACACCCTATCTCTCTCACATACTCTCTCTCTCTCTCACACTCACACACCCTCTCCCTCACACTCATACTCTCTCTCTCTCTCTCTCTCTCTCTCTCTCTCTCTCTCTCTCTCTCTCTCTCTCTCTCTCTCTCTCTCACGCTCACACTCTCTCTCACACTCACACACTCTCTCTCACACTCACACACTCTCTCTTTCACACTCACACCCTCTCCCTCTCACACACTCACACACTCTCTCTCACACTCACACACTCTCTTTCACACTCACACACACTCTTTCTCCCACTGTCTCTCTCCCATTGTCTCTCCCACTGTCTCTCCCACTCTCTCTCCCACTCTCTCTCACACACTCTCTCACACACTCTCTCACACACTCTCTCTCATTCTCTCCCACTCTCTCTCTCTCATTCTCTCTCACTCTCTTCCACTCTCTCCCACTATCTCACTCTCACTCTTTCACCTACTCTCTCACTCTCTCCCACTCTCTCTCTCACGTCAGGCGAAATAGCACGTCATCGTACATTTGAGATCAGCGGGAAGAAGATGACGACGTCCACTAATTTAGTATCTGTGCACACGAATCTGCTGTGCGTGTGACTCTGTGTGTCAGCTATGATATCATCTTCTGTGGTTCCATGCCTAGCATGTACGTCTGAACCATCCTGCAAAGTTTGAATGACGTAGGTTGAGCGATCGCTCCGCGAAATATACTTTTTGAAATTCTTTTCATAGTATATCTTCCACCATTGAAATTTCGAATTTCTTCAAGAAAAGTGCTGAGAGGGGTGGCTTGTAACCTCGATATGGCTTGTTCCAGGCATGCTTTGGAGCCATCTTCTGTTGAAGTAGTGGCGGGGATCTGCCCTGCAACTGCTACAACAAAAAATGATTCGATCTGAGAAAGGGTGAGACCGCGAATCTCGGTTGAATATTGAGTATTTCAAGCCTTTTCACGACCAAGATGGAGTTCTTTTTGGAGATTGACGTCGCGGCAAAGGACATGGTGTCCGACGTCTGGCGTCTGGTGAAGCCAGGGATCATTTGTCCAGTCAGGTCGGCAGCCTAACCGTCGGTAAGCTTGTGTTTGGATCCCGTTGTGCTCGATGTGGTAGATCACAAACAATTTGATATCGCACAAATTGATCTCAGCATCGTGCGTACGGTATTTTATATTCAGAAAATCCCAAAGTGTCTCTGTGTGGCCGTCCTATGCCACGAGAAACTCCAATCAGGCTCCTATGTCCTCTGCCTTCATGATTGAATGTCCACTTCGTTTGAACAACGAACACAACAATCGAGGACGGCTTTGCAATGAAAAATACAGCTATACTGGAGCTGAAAAAAAGAAGAAAAAAACGTGCTCAGGATGAGACTCGAGTACACGCATACTCTCCCAGCAGGTGAAACGCAATTTTTTGTGAAAAATGCGTGACACCGACTGACCAGTAATTTCGCCTGACGACACACTCTCTCACACTCTCTCTCTCACTCACACACTCACTCTCTCCCACTCTATCTTTCTCTCTCTCTCACACTCTCTCTCTCTCTCTCTCTCTCTCTCTCTCTCTTGTAACGGAATCTCAGCCATTCCGTTCCCCGGGACGCAGGACACAAAGGACAAGACTAGTTTGTTACATTATTTATATTGACAAGACGGAAAGCAAACTGCTCTGACAGAGACGAACAAGAAGACTGACAAAAGGACTCTCGACTACAAAATCGCGCATGCTCATATCACACATGCACGCGACTAGACGAGACAGTTTGGGGATTGCCATCACACAGGAACACAACACGTCATTTCACAACACCTGCCCCCTTGATGACATTCCACAAAATGAGCCTGGATCAGCAAAAACCATCACATGTGCAAAATTTTCCAAAAATATTTTTGTGCTCCAAATTGATCAACAACTACTGATAACCAGTCTCAAGAAATTTTAGATCAATCACACCACCGTAAGTGACCAAAAAATGCAGTACACCACATCTCTGTACGAATGTTGGAAGTGGCATTTCTGTGTAAGATGCAAGTATGAGCGTTGGTATGTGTCTTATCCTGTTAGGCATTGCCATCACTCAGCCGGCTAACAAGGAGGAATTTTATAGTCCTTGGCTTGGGGGTGTACTCAGACACTGGCTTTTCCAAGTAAATCATTGGCTTCACTGACTATTGGGCAGCTAACGGCATATGGCCAAGTTCCAGGGGCTGATATTGCATCCACAACAGGCTCTGTACTGATGCACTCCAAGCCCTTCACTTCCATGAAAACATATCTGCACACACGGAGTGCAATCACAGTAGCTGTGACTACTTAGCACACAGGCTCACGAGCATGAGGTACGTACTAGGTGCAGATACATTCAACGGTTACCTGACCCTACAGGAACATATTTTTTGGAATTGTTTTGGGAGCTGCTGCATGGACAAAATAAATGTTCCAAGTTGCTCAGCGTCCAAGCCAACGAAGCAGATCTTGTCTGGCGCTAGCTCTCGTTGCTCTTCCAGTCGTGAATCGAGACGCCTTTGTTCTGCATCGTCCCTGTCGATATCTGAAAAACTTACTAGTGAAGGAGTCATTCATCGCTCAACAATATCCACTCGAGTCGTCGTTATTCTCATCAGCGCTGCTTTCTTCTACACGAAGTCTGCAGCCTCGCCGAGTCGCTTTGCGGCAAGAGAGAGTCGTCTTCTGGAGCTCCGCGGCTTTCACCTGACTCCCTTGATGAGCAATCGCCATCCCAGTCATCACCAAAAAATGTCGTGTCGTGATTGGCGTCAACGACGATCGATGCGCGTGCGATGTTTGCGCCCCGCGATCGTACCTATTCACCAGCCAAGCTCAGGTACGTGGGGTTTCCCAGCCATGTCTCCTCACTTGCCTGGGGCTTGCCTAGCTAGCTAGTCACTGACAAACAAACAAACACGGGCTTGTCAGGCGGAAAGAAAGACTAGTGACAAGAAAGACAGAAAGGTGATGGGTAGTTGTTAGGTCCGCGACTTTTCTTTCGCTCGACTTCAACGTCACTTTTTGATCAACTTGATATCAAACGCAAGTGATGGTTTTCGCTGATCCGGGCTCAAATAATAAACCGACACCACGTTCCACATGCACAACAGCAAAAGGAACCACAGCAGAACAGAAAAAACGAAAACCAACCGTCAACATACAGCCGACGCTCTAAAATAAAATCTGGGCCACGACACAGGGCCAAACAAAAAAAACCTAGAGCCGACGCTCTACAACCAGGCCACGCCACACAAGGCCAACCGAAACACGGGAGCCGAAGCTCCAACAAAATAATAACATGCGCACACCCGCACCAAATATATCTACAACAAAAACAATGGAGAACAACAGAACGAATAGAAGAGCAACAGACCGACAACAACCAAACTGAAACAACACAGCAACAAGCAACAAACTGAACAGAGAGAGAACAACACAGCGAGCAAGACAACAACAAGACGAACAACAAGGACGACACAC